CCCTCCCCTCCAGCGTATCTACCACTCCTCCCAGTTTAGTATCATCCGCAAATTTGCTGAGAGTGCAATCTACACCATCCTCCAGATCATTTATGAAGATATTGAACAAAACCGGCCCCAGGACCGACCCTTGGGGCACTCCACTTGATACCGGCTGCCAACTAGACATGGAGCCATTGATCACTACCCGTTGAGCCCGACAATCTAGCCAGCTTTCTACCCACTTTATAGTGCATTCATCCAGCCCATACTTCCTTAACTTGCTGACAAGAAGCATAAAAATGTTGGTATACTGTGGGGCCATGCAGGTACCCATAGCAGTGCCGCTGATTTGAAATAGTCCCCAAATGTGAAATAGATATGGGTGAGGACAAACCCCTCAGACAGAGACAAACACCTACAAGATCTCTATCAAGCATTCTTACAACTACAATACCCACCTGCTGAAGTGAAGAAACAAATTGACAGAGCCAGAAGAGTACCCAGAAGTCACCTACTACAGGACAGACCCAACAAAGATAATAACAGAATGCTACTAGCCATCACCTTCAGCCCCCAACTAAAACCTCTCCAACGCATCATCAAGGATCTACAACCTATCCTGAAGGACGACCCATCACTCTCACAAATCTTGGGAGACAGGCCAGTCCTTGCCTACAGACAGCCCCCCAACCTGAAGCAAATACTCACCAGCAACCACACAACAGAACCACTAACCCAGGAACCTATCCTTGCAACAAAGCCCGTTGCCAACTGTGTCCACATATCTATTCAGGGGACACCATCCTGCTGGTAATAGCTCATCTTAAGTGATCACTCTCCTTACAGTGTGTGTGATAACACCCATTTTCTCATGTTCTGTGTGTATATAAATCTTCTCACTGTATTTTCCACTGAATGCATCTGACGAAGTGAGCTGTAGCTCACGAAAGCTTATGCTCAAATAAATTGGTTAGTCTCTAAGGTGCCACAAGTCCTCCTGTTCTTTTTGCAAATACAGACTAACAAGGCTGCTACTCTGAAACTTATTTTCACTTTTCAGTCTTTCAAGATCACAGAAGATTTCCTCTGATTCATAGTGAATCGGGTACACTACCGGTTTACTATGCTCCCATTTGGCCTGTCAGCAGCCCCTCAGGTTTTCATGAAGTGCATGGCAATCGTTGCTGCCTTCTTGAGGAACCAAAGTGCTCAGGTTTACCCTTACCTCAATGACTGGCTGATTAAAGGTAGAACCAAGGCCCAGGTGGAGGCAAATGTATGGTTAATACTGTCAACCTTCAAGAAGATAGGTCCGTTGATAAACATGCAGAAATTGACACTCTCACCAGTTCAAAGAATAGAATTTATAGGGGTAGTCCTTGACTCAGTCCAGGCCAGAGCCTTCCGGAGACCGGGTTCCAGGCCCTAGGCACGACCATAGAAAGCCTTAGAAACCACCCCATCCACCATGGCAAGAAACTGCGTAAAACTCCTGGGGCACATGGCCTCGTGCACTTACGTGGTGCAGCATACAAGATTACGACCTAGACCTCTCCAGACTTGGCTAGCATCAGTGTACCGGCAGGGCTAGAACTGCTTGGTCATGGTTCTCACACTTCTCCCTTTGTTAATTACCACTCTCCTTTGGTGGTTGGACCTGAAGACAGTATTTGTAAGTCTCCCATTCTTGAGACCACATCTATCAATTTCTTTTGTCACTGACGCATCTGGGCTGGTTTGGGGGGGGCGCAGCTAGGTGTACTCAGAACTCAGGGCCTCTGATCCCAGGTAGAGCTCTCGCTACACATCAACACGGGGGAACTCAGAGTGGTGTGCCTTGCCTGCCAAACATTCCAGCCCCACCTGGAAGGCAAATGTATGTCAGTATTTACAGACAACACGACAGCGATGTTCTGTATAAACAAACCGTGTCAAGTGTGCTCCTCTCACCTTTGCCAGGAAGCCGTTCGCGTGTGGGATTTCTATATAACCCACTCAGTCCACCTCAAAGCCTCCTATCTTCCATGCACAGAACAAGTTAGCAGATCATCTCAGCAGATCCTGCAGCTGTAATTTTCACTCCATGCATCTGAAGAACTGTTTTTTTACACACAAAAGCTTATGCCCAAATAAATCTGTTAGTCTTTAAGGTGCCACCGGACTCCTTGTTGTTTTTGTGGATACAGACTAACACGGCTATCCCCTGATACTTTTCTCCAATTATGAGTGGTCCATTCACCCAGACATCGTGAAGGACATTCCACAGAGGCGAGGAGATCCCCAGATAGATTTGTTTGCAACAAGACACAACAGGAACTGTCTGCAGTTTCTGCTCCTTCCTGAATCACAGCCCAAGCTCACTCAAAGACATGTTTCTCCTCCCTTGGAAGGACCATCTCTTTTATGCATTTCCTCCCATTCCGCTCATACGCAATGTCCTGCTGAAAGTCAGAGAGGAAGAAACGAGCCTGATCCTGATAGCCCCGGCCTGCCCACGTCACCAGTGGTTTACCAGCCTTCTGGACCTCTCAGTGGAAACACCAACCAGCTTGCCTCTGTTTCCAGATCTGATCTCTGAGGACCACAGCCGTTTACATCATCCAAACCTCGAGTCCCTTCATCTCACGGCCTGGAAGCTCCATGGCTGAACTCCTTGGAGCTAGCATGATCCGGACTGGTTCGAGAGATCCTTTTAGGGATCAGGAAACCATCCACTAGAGCTGTGTACCTGGCAAAGCAGGAAAGGTTTTCTATCTGGTCAGCACAGAAAAGTGTTTCACCCACGCAGTCATCAGTGCCATTCATTCTGAATTACTTACTACACCTGAAGCAGCCAGGGCTATCGCTGTCATCGATTAGAGTCCACCTGGCTGCAATTTCGGCATTTCACCCTTGGGTAAGTGGCTGGTCCATCTTTGCAAACTTGATCTGAAGTAATTTCCTCAAAGGCCTGGACAGACAGTACCCCTAAGTGTGACAACCACTCCCACCCTGGGATCTCAGCCTGGTATTGTTGAGGCTCATGAGTCCCCCATTTGAGCCATTGGCAACATATTCTCTCCTCTACTTGTCCTGGAAGGTGGCCTTTCTGGTGGCCATTACTGCCGTTAGAGGAGGGTCTTGGAGATTAGGATTCTTACTTCGGAACCTCCTTACATGGTATTCTTCAAGGACAAGGTCTAGCTACACCCTCACCCAGCTTTCCTACTGAAGGTGGTTTCACAATTCCATAGTAACCTGGACATATTCCTTCCTGTCTTCTATCCAAAACCACATGCCAATAGCCAGGAGCAGAGATTTCACTCACTAGATGTCAGACATGTGCTTGCCTTCTACATAGAAGGACTAAATCGTTCCGGAAAACTACACAACTCTTTGTGGTGATGGCAGACAGGATGAAAGGTCTTCCAGTCTCAGCCCAGAGAATTTCATCGTGGATCACTTCTTGTATCTGCACATGCTACGACTTAGCGGAGATCCCTGCTCCGTCCCTGATGGCACATTCCACAAGGGCACAAGCATCTTCAGCTGCATTCCTGGCAGAGCTTCCAATCCAGGACATCTGTAGAGCAGGAACATGGTCTTGGCCCACACTTTTGCATCACGCTGTGCCATCACTAGGCAGGCCAGAGACAATTCTGGATTTGGCAGAGCGGTGCTACAATCTGCTTGTCAATGAACTCTGAACCCTCCTGCTACATCTGCATTGGAATGGACATGAGCAAGCACTTGAAAAAATGCTAACCTTCCGTAAAGTGTTGTTCTTCAAGATGTGTTGTTCATGTCCATTCCAAACCCCCACTCTCACCCCCACCCCTCTGTTGGAGATAGCCGGCAAGGAGGAACAGAGAGGGTGGCAGGTCCCTGTATCTCGCGCTATGAGGGCACGACTCCAGGGGGCACCAGAACCAACCTAATGAATACCACTGAGGGAAAACTTTCTGGCGGCGGTGCTTGGGGCAAGCACACACCTACATTGAATGGACATGAGCAACACATCTTGAAGAACAAGTTACAGGTTAGTAACTGATTTTTATTCAATTAAATTAATAGACAGCAGATTTAAAACAAATAAAAGGAAGTTCTTCTCACAATGGAATGTCAACATGTGGGACTGATTGCCGTGGGATATTGTGAAGGCCAAAAGTATACCTGGGTTCAAAAAAGAATTAGATAAGTACATGGAGGGTTGGTCCATCAATAGCTATTAACTGTGATGATCAGGGAATGCAACCCCATGCTCTGGGTGTCTCCAAACCTCCAAATGCCAGAAGCTGGGACTGAATGACAGAGGATGGATCACTCAGATTTGCCTGGTTCAGTTCATTCCCTCATCTGGCACTGGCCCCTGTCACTGGCCACTGGCCATTGGTCTGACCCAGTATGGCTGTTCTTATCTTGATGTATGCTTGCAACTAAACATAGTTCAGCACCATTTCACCTCTCTGTTGTTAACACAGTTTGTCAGAAACAGGTCATTTTTCTACTGCTGTAAAGTCAGCATGGTCCGGAGGAGAGATCACAAGACTGAAAGTCTGGGAACATCTCAGTTCTGGTTCTGGTCCTGGCTTTGCCATCAGCTCTCTTGTAGATTTGGGCAAGTCATTTAACCACTCTGTCAGTTTCCAATCTGTATGATGAGGATAAGACTCACCTTACAGAGATATTGTGTAGCATGATTAATTAAAATTGTACATCATTTTGGAAATGTAAAATGTTGTATAAATGCCAAGTATTATTTCAGAATGTTTCTCTAGCTAAATGAATAGTGAACGTGTGTAGTTAGATAGATTGTAGTGTTGATTACAGGAGATATATTGGCAAACATTAACACAGCTGAGCTATTTTCGAGAAGTTTAGTGGGGAAGATGAATTTTTACACAAGGGATTAATTGGAGTCCTACTGTAGCAGCTTTCACTGAACTTGCACTTAGTGCCAAATGCAGCAGTGGATTTTGGAAACAGTTTCTTTTGTACATTAGAGTGCTTTTAACTGGTCCATTTACTCTTGATTTCAGGCTAATCTAGATGAAAGCCAGATGAGTTCACCTACATTCCTTAGAGCTTTAATGACAGCAGTTTGTAAAGCGGCCATTACAGGTGAGTAACTTTCAAGATAAGGCTGTACAAAACCATCAAATATGAAAGTAATGAATTTACAGATTACTTGGATTTTAACCACTTATTTTTCTGTTTGAGGCTGACTAATCTTTGATACAAACTGTGCATCAAGATTTTTTTCTCCCAGATTGTAGAGTTTTAGTGCTGAAGAAAGTGAAGACAGAGACTGACACCACTGTCAAGAGCCAGTCATAGTGCAGGAGAGGTGTGCCAGCTGCCCCTTCCACACATAGGTCTGCCAGTGCCCTTCAATTCTTTACCTGCAGCATCTTGGTCCCCCTTGAGTGGGGACTTACGCCTCTGTTGAATTATGCCTGATTGCTGATTTTCCAATGTAGATGAAAATCCACTAGATGCTATTCTGAAATAGGTTCTGTTTGTGTGTTTGTTTTTGTGGTACTCTAAATAAAAAATTGGACTTAAAATCTTTGCAGAGGTCCCCAGCGTCCATGGAACATGGAGAGTGCAGCATTTCACTTTCAAAGTCTGATACTAGAGAAAAATAAATTTATGTGGCTTAAATACTGCTGTTATTTTCCTCTAAGATAACAGGAATCATGAGAATGTTCTAACAAAGCAGCAACTAATTTACAGGTATCTGGATTGAACTGTCTGTGAAGTTTCAGCCTTTTAAAAATTATTCTTTCAAGTGTTTTCTCTTGGGATGGGTGTAATTGAATTTCATCTCACTGTTGCATGGATTTCAGAGAGGACAAAATCAAGGGAGAGTTCTTTTTTCTCTGAGAGTATAATCTTCTTGATGCCACCTACTGTTAAAATCTAGATGCTGCAGGATTTCATCATTAATATTTAGGGGTTTCCTGATACATCCTTGCTCTGTGAATATCAGTAATGTCTTGTTCTGGTTTTGTTTTCTATCATAGAATATCAGGGTTGGAAGGGACCTCAGGAGATCATCTAGTCCAACCCCCTGCTCAAAGCAGGACCAATCCCCAACTTTTGCCCCAGATCCCTAAATGGCCCCCTCAAGGATTGAACTCACAACCCTGGGGTATCCCTCCCCCCTATCATCTCTATCTAGGTTTTTTCATTTTTGCTCAGACTTTTTCTTTCATGCTCTTTTGAGTATATGCTGGCTAAAAGCTGCTGAATATTTTTCTATAGATAACTCTTCCTGTGGGGGTGTACATTTTTGTGGACTTCTAGCAGGGCTTGATATACTTTGGTTTTCTTATTTGTGATTTAGTGTTCTATTCCTGTTTGTCTTTTGCAAGAAAAACGTCCTTGTAATTATTTTCAAATCTCAGGAAAAAAAGAAGAATGTCAACCTCTCTTTGTGCGTAGATATTCAAGTATTCAAGTGCATGTGCTTACATGAAGGCTGGATAGAGACCTCAACTTGGTCTCTCTTTCACCTGTCCATGAAGACAGCATTTCTAATTGTCATCACCTCAGCTAGGCACATAGGAGAAATAGCAGCCCTGATGAGACATCCACCATACACGGTCTTTTTTAAAGACAAAGTAATTCTGAGGCTGCCTCCCACCTTTCCTCCTAAAGTTACCTCTGCTTTCCATATGAATCAACAGATCCATCTTCCTTTTTTTCCCCAAAACCACATCGTGGTAACAGGGAGGTAATTCTGCACATGCTAGACGTTAGAAGCATTCTACTTGGACAGGACTAAGGACTTCAGGATGTTCTCTAAACTTTTCCTCTCGTTCATGGAAAGATCCAAAGGCTCCGTGATATGGGCTTAAAGACTATCCAAATGGGTCTCTGGTTGCATTAATCACTGTTATCAAGGGTGCAATCTTTGTACGCACTCCACAAGGTCAATTTCTAACTTGGTCACATTTTTTAAAGATGTCCCTATTGCAGAAATCTGCAGAGCAGCACTTTGGGCTTCTGTCCACATTTTCACAGAACATTATGTGATCACTGGAGATTCAGCCTTCGATGCCATCTTCAGCTCCACAGTACTCTGTAGTAACAGAGTCTACTTTGAAGCCCCAGCCCTCCATGGAGAATATTATTGTGAAGTCATCTGTAGTGGAGCACCCAGAGGGACACCACTTGAAGAAGAAGAAGAGGAAGTTACCTTGTGCAGTAACACGATGGTTCTTCAAGGTGTGTGTTCTAGTGGGTGCTCGACAACCCGCCTTCCTCTCCCCTACTTCGGAGTTCTCTATAAGGGGCTTTGCGGTAGAGAAGGAACTGAGGGGGGGTCACCCACACAGTGCTAGATAGCCTCCAGGCAGACCATGAGTGGGGGAGAGCACATGTGCAGGCTGAACAGACACTGCTACCTAAAATCTCTGATTAGAGATGCTGGGACACAAATACACGTAGAGTGGAGCACCCATGGGGACACACATCTCGAAGAACCATTGTTACCGCACAAGGTGAGTAACTTTCTCTTCCTATTATAGAAATAGCCAGTACAATATGAGTGCAATTTTGCATGTGCATACATGAAGGCTGGGTAGAGAGGCCTGGCTGAAAATGTGGTCCAGAGTCTCTGAAAGTGTTCATTAGAATTGGGGAGTGAGAAGCAGATATGTTCCTATCATAGAAATAGCCAATACTCTTCTGTGTCCCATCTGTTTCAGTCCTCTTCCCGTTTTTGACTAACCTGAGTTTGTTATTTCTATTTCTATAAATAAATATGATGAAAAACCTGCCCCTGGCTTCAGATCCACCAAAAGTAACCCTGATTCTTCTTTTCTCTCCAGCGGATTCTTCTAGTTTCCGTGTGGACACTGCTGTTATCAAGCAGAGAGTGCCGATCTTACTCAAGTACCTAGACTCAGATACAGAGAAGGAACTACAAGCACTTTATGCACTACAAGCATCAATAGTAAAACTTGATCAGCCTCCTAGTAAGTGTTTTTTTGTGTTTGGGATTTGAAAAATGACTATATGGCATTGAAGGAAAGATCCAGGTGGAGGATTAGACTTGGGTCTTAGATAGAGTCTGGTAGATTGTGCTCTTCCTGAAGGTGGAACAGACTGGTTAGGTGGGTGCCAAGGGGCTGAAGGCAAACTACTATTATAGCATCCAATTATACAGTGCATGGCTTTAGAATCATAGAATATTAGGGTTGGAAGGGAACTCGGGAGGTCATCCAGTCCAATCCCCTGCTCAAAGCAGGACCAATCCCCAACTAAATCATCATAGACCAATACTCTTCCCCACCCTCCTGGCTGAAGGTGAGCTCCTCTATTGGCTGCCACCATAAGCAGTCGAGAAGGAAATGCCCATAATGTGGAGAGAGGAAAAAAAATGTTTTATCCTCTGCTGCATTTAGTACCAATCGCTCTACTTACATTTCAGGGCAACTGCACCTGCACACCCGCACCATGAGCCCTTGAGGGCATCTGCTCTAGGCTCTTGGGTCTTCAGCCATCACCTCTCTTGGTTAGAGACCCAGGTTTCTCTCCCTCCTGACAGAAGTTTTTGCAGGCTGTACAGTTCCCTGTCTACACTGTGATATCTCAGCAAGCCAGGCTGCGTAAACAGGCCAACGTCTGCGCTTTGCTTTCTCCCCAAAGGCTGTGAACAGTTGTAATTGCCAGAAGTCCCAAGCTACCACACAGCCCTTTCTAAGCAAGTACATTTATTCTTAAGACTAAAGCATTACAGAGAAAACTTATTAAAAACCATAAAAGAATCTACATGCATGACAATAAGCCTACCAGACTCCAACACACCTCAGCTCCAACCCGGACTCTGGTGGAAGTCAGTCCTTGAAACCCACCATGGGGATTTTCTGTGTTTACAACTTCATAACAAACGGTTTTGGCGTTTGATCTTGAGACTCTGGGAACATGTAATCAGCAGACAATGGTCTCCTCAAGGCATAACTTCCAAAGGCTGGCTTTTTGCATAGACGGGGTGGGGAATTTGCATTCATCTCCCACTAGAGATTCCCCCAAGCAAATCACTTGACCCTGTTTGTCCCTAAAGTCCATTCTTGTCTGGCACGTTGTTCAGTACAGTCGTTTGAAGTTCATAATACTTCCCAGGGTTCACATCACATTTCCTCCCTAGAGAGATTACATACAATCCTGGCCCACAATCATAGATAACCTTTCCATTTAATGCAATGGACTCCAAAGATACTTAAATCATAGAGTCATAGAATATCAGGGTTGGAAGGGACCTCAGTCATCTAGTCCAACCCCCTGCTCAAAGCAGGACCAATCCCCAACTCAGTCATCCCAGTCAGGACTTTGTCAAGCCTGACCTTAAAAACTTCTAAGGAAGGAGACTCCACCACCTCCCTAGGTAACGCATTCCAGTGTTTCACCACCCTCCTAGTGAAAAAGTTTTTCCTAATATCCAACCTAAACTTCTCCCACTGCAACTTGAGACCATTAGTCCTCGTTCTGTCATCTGCTACCACTGAGAACAGTCTAGATCCATCCTCTTTGGAACCCCCTTTCAGGTAGTTGAAAGCAGCTATCAAATCCCCCTCATTCTTCTCTTCCGCAGACTAAACAATCCCAGATCCCTCAGCCTCTCCTCATAAGTCATGTGTTCCAGACCCCTCATCATTTTTGTTGCCCTCCGCTGGACTCTTTCCAATTTTTCCACATCCTCCTTGTAGTGTGAGGCCCAAAACTGGACACAGTACTCCAGATGAGGCCTCACCAATGTCGAATAGAGGTGAACGATCACGTCCCTCGATCTGCTGGCAATGCCTCTACTTATACATCCCAAAATGCCATTGGCCTTCTTGGCAACAAGGGCACACTGTTGACTCATATCCAGCTTCTCGTCCACTGTAACCCCAGGTCCTTTTCTGCAGAACTGCTGCCGAGCCATTCGGTCCCTAGTCTGTAGCGGTGCATGGGAGTCTTCCATCCTAAGTGCAGGACTCTGCACTTCTCCTTGCTGAACCTCATCAGATTTCTTTTGGCCCAATCCTCCAATTTTTCTAGGGCCCTCTGTATCCTATCCCTAACCTCCAGCATATCTACCTCTCCTCCCAGTTTGGTGTCATCTGCAAACTTGCTGAGAGTGCAATCCACACCATCCTCCAAATCATTTATGAAGATATTGAACAAAATTGGCCCCAGGACTGACCCTTGGGGCACTTAATCATAGAATCATAGAATATAAGGGTTGGAAGGGACCCCAGAAGGTCATCTAGTCCAACCCCCTGCTCGAAGCAGGACCAATTCCCAGTTAAATCATCCCAGCCAGGGCTTTGTCAAGCCTGACCTTAAAAACCTCTAAGGAAGGAGATTCCACCACCTCCCTAGGTAACGCATTCCAGTGTTTCACCACCCTCTTAGTGAAAAAGTTTTTCCTAATATCCAATCTAAACCTCCCCCACTGCAGCTTGAGACCATTACTCCTCGTTCTGTCATCTGATACCATTGAGAACAGTCTAGAGCCATCCTCTTTGGAACCCCCTTTCAGGTAGTTGAAAGCAGCTATCAAATCCCCCCTCATTCTTCTCTTCTGCAGGCTAAACAATCCCTGCTCCCTCAGCCTCTCCTCATAACTCATGTGTTCCAGACCCCTAATCATTTTTGTTGCCCTTCGCTGGACTCTCTCCAATTTATCCACATCCTTCTTGAAGTGTGGGGCCCAAAACTGGACACAGTACTCCAGATGAGGCCTCACCAATGTCGAATAGAGGGGAACGATCACGTCCCTCAATCTGCTCGCTATGCCCCTACTTATACATCCCAAAATGCCATTGGCCCTCTTGGCAACAAGGGCACACTGCTGACTCATATCCAGCTTCTCGTCCACTGTCACCCCTAGGTCCTTTTCCGCAGAACTGCTGCCTAGCCATTCGGTCCCTAGTCTGTAGCTGTGCATTGGGTTCTTCCGTCCTAAGTGCAGGACCCTGCACTTATCCTTATTGAACCTCATCAGATTTCTTTTGGCCCAATCCTCCAATTTTTCTAGGTCCTTCTGTATCCTATCCCTCCCCTCCAGCGTATCTACCACTCCTCCCAGTTTAGTATCATCCGCAAATTTGCTGAGAGTGCAATCCACACCATCCTCCAGATCATTTATGAAGATATTGAACAAAACCGGCCCCAGGACTGACCCTTGGGGCACTCCACTTGATACCGGCTGCCAACTAGACATGGAGCCATTGATCACTAGCCATTGAGCCCGACAATCTAGCCAACTTTCTATCCACCTTATAGTCCATTCATCCAGCCCATACTTCTTTAACTTGCTGGCAAGAATACTGTGGGAGACCGTGTCAAAAGCTTTGCTAAAGTCAAGGAACAACACGTCCACTGCTTTCCCCTCTTCCACAAAGCCAGTTATCTCGTCATAGAAGGCAATTAGATTAGTCAGGCATGACTTGCCCTTGGTGAATCCATGGTGACTGTTCCTGATCACTTTCCTCTCCCCTAAGTGCTTCAGAATCGATTCCTTGAGGACCTGCTCCATGATGTTTCCAGAGACTGAGGTGAGGCTGACTGGCCTGTAGTTCCCCGGATCCTCCTCCTTCCCTTTTTTAAAGATGGGCACTACATTAGCCTTTTTCCAGTCCTCCGGGGCTTCCCCCGATGGCCATGAGTTTTCAAAGATAATGGCCAATGGCTCTGCAATCACATCCGCCAACTCCATTAGCACTCTCGAATGCAGTGCATCCGGCCTCTTGACTTGTGCTCGTCCAGCTTTTCTAAATAGTCCCGAACCACTTCTTTCTCCACAGAGGGCTGGTCACCTCCTCCCCATGCTGTGCTGCCCAGTGCAGCAGTCTGGGAGCTGACCTTGTTCGTGAAGACAGAGGCAAAAAAAGCATTGAGTACATTAGGTTTTTCCACATCCTCTGTCACTAGGTTGCCTCCCTCATTCAGTAAGGGTCCCACACTTTCCTTGACTTTCTTCTTGTGGCTAACATACCTGAAGAAACCCTTCTTGTTACTCTTAACGTCTCTTGCTAGCTGCAACTCCAGGTGTGATTTGGCTTTCCTGATTTCACTCCTGCATGCCCGAGCAATATTTTTATACTCTTCCCTGGTCATTTGTCCAATCTTCCACTTCTTGTAAGCTTCTTTTTTGTGTTTAAGATCAGCAAGGATTTCACTGTTAAGCCAAGCTGGTCGCCTGCCATATTTACTATTCTTTCTACACATCAGGATGGTTCTTTCTACACATTGGGATGTAACCTCAATAAGGATTCTTTAAAATACAGCTAACTCTCCTGGACTCCTTTCCCCCTCATGTTATTCTCCCAGGGGATCCTGCCCATCAGTTCCCTGAGGGAGTCAAAGTCTGCTTTTCTGATGTCCAGGGTCCGTATTCTGCTGCTCTCCTTTCTTCCCTGCATCAGGATCCTGAACTCAACCATCTCATGGTCACTGCCTCCCAGGTTCCCATCCACTTTTGCTTCCCCTACTAATTCTTCCCGGTTTGTGAGCAGCAGGTCAAGAAGAGCTCTGTCCCTAGTTGGTTCCTCCTGCACTTGCACCAGGAAATTGTCCCCTTCACTTTCCAAAAACTTCCTGGGTTGTCTGTGCACCGCTGTATTGCTCTCCCAGCAGATATCAGGGTGATTGAAGTCTCCCATAAGAACCAGAGCCTGCGATCCAGTAACTTCCGTTAGTTGCTGGAAGAAAGCCTTGTCCACCTCATCCCGCTGATCCGGTGGTCTATAGCAGACTCCCACCACGACATCACCCTTGTTGCTCACGCTTCTAAACTTAATCCCAAAAGGTTTTTCCAGGATACTGTAAGAAATCATCGTATCTGTAACTTAGATGCTGTCCTAATTTCTAAACTAGTGAAACTAGTGAAACTAGGTAGCTCAGAATGGCCACTGTAGATTCTGTTCCATGGCCACTTGCTGGTATATGCGCACACGCTGCTGCCTTTCCAGCCCTCTCTTTAACATATGACAGCATGTTTTGTAGCATCAGAGGAAACTTTACTTTAGCAAGTGTGTATTTAACCTTCATATCCTGCATAATCAGGGCACAACCACTATTAACAGCAGTTCCCGCTACTTGCTTTTCCACTTCTCACTGTAATAAAGTCCACTTTTATTCAGGTTTTAAACAGATAATCTCTAATCATTTCTGTATTTCCTTGTCTACCAACTACTGTACATTACTAAACAGATGTTTCCCCCTTGCAGATCTGTTGCGGATGTTTTTTGATTGCCTGTATGACGAGGAGGTGATATCGGAGGATGCCTTTTACAAATGGGAAAGCAGCAAGGACCCAGGAGAGCAGAATGGGAAAGGAGTAGCACTGAAATCAGTCACAGCATTCTTCACATGGCTACGGGAGGCTGAAGAGGAATCAGAGGATAATTAAAACTTAAAATACAGAAAACAAAACAAAAAAAGAAACAATTTAAGTATTTTTTTAAAAAGTTTCACGTCTTCGCCAATCACAGTGCAGCAAGGCCAATTCTCGCGCATAACCCCCTCCTTCCCCCACATATGCACGAGTGGGAGAGGAAAAAAAATAGATAAACATAAAGGTGATCATGGAGGAAAAAGGTACTTGGGGAAAAAAAAGTAAACGTCAAACCTGAGGGCGGGAGCACTAAACCAAAATACATGTATTATTTATAGAAAATATTTTCTGTTTTAATCATTTTTTGTTTTCTTTTTAAACAAGGACTCCTACTTTAAAAAACAGATCTGTTTAGCAAAAAAAAAGTTGAAAACTTTAATTTATTATTTTAAGGACTGCAAATGCCAGTGTAATTTTTAAATTTGCAGTTTCTGTAAACAAATTGTATGATAGAAAAAAGCAGAGAAATAAATTTCCCTCCCCTTCAGCTGCACCTCAGTTTTGTTTCAAAGCATGGTAGATAGTCAAAACTTTCAACAGGGTTTGGGGTAAGCTACATGAGGGAGAGATTTTTTTTTTTTTAATTGTCAGATTTTTCTGCCTGCCTCTCAGCTTGCTTCAGAGATTAAAAAGAAAATAGTAATCAAAACACACATAATCTTGGAACAGAAGGAAATGCATTTGGGAAAAACGCTATGGACCAGAGTGCTCCAGAAAAAAGTCATTCAAAACAAAGTGCTACCCCAGGGGAAAAAAAGTACTAGTGATACTTTCAAAACCTTTAGAACGACTTTAAGGCTTGTAAATACATAGAACAAATATTTAAAAAGAGAAAGAAAATGACTCAATAGTATTTCTTTTCACTTTGAAAATATAAAGAACAAAAATAAAGATAAACATTGCAAGTTTAAAAGAAAGTAAAGCGATTTCTCCTTTAGACAGCTGTTGAATGCACCACCATCTCTGAGTGGTGCTGTCTTCCTTCTCAATGTGTAGATTCTGTATCCAAATTTATGTTTATTTAGTGTGTGTGTATGTGTGTCCACACCAAACAAGAGAGGTGTAGGCCACTGTGGTAAATATGGGGCTGCTGCTTGGGAGACCCTTTTTGCAGAGTGAACTTAAAGGTTGAGGAGCTAGCTGTGTCACTGTACAAGCTAGGTTCATCCAATTTCAAATACTTCTCCTCTAGGCTGGGAGATGACCTATGGGCCAATAAAATAACTGACCCCCGTTTAGTTTTGCAGCTGTTGGACTACAGTGTGTCTTGTGACTCAAGAACACTGCATTGTTATGGTGGTAGCATTATCAACAGGTTGCAGCGTTGGAAGCAGATAACCAACATCTCTTCTCAAAGGCTTGTACATCCATTGTCACCCAGCCATCACTGCTGTTCTTTGTGTCTGTCAGTTGCCTTGCTGTGCTTAAGGAACCCAAAATCCCCAGAAGTAAAAAACAAAAGGAAGAAAACAAACTACAACATTAAGCAAAAGAGTTGAAACAAGTGCTGCAAGTGACACAATGCTTTTCCCAGCTCTGCCCAGTCCCTACTGGTGTATGAAGTCTGAGTGCAGCCTGGGCACTGGCTTCTCTGGCACAAATAGGTGTACGTACTATCTCTGTGTCCAAAGATGACTCAAGCATGCTCTTCTTCACAGGGCTGGTACTATACAAAGTACACTTCACAAAACTGAGCTGTTTCTGAGCAAATTAAGTCTCTGTGTATCTCTCTTGAACAACCAAAGATGATCTGCTGGCTGTCACTATGAAGATGCATCCACAATCTGCAAAGTTTGTGAAGCCCTAAAATGATGATTTGTGAACTGTGGTCCATGGACCATGAGCGACCCATGGAGCTCTGGCTGGTGGTTTATGGAGCACTTGGTAGTGGTCCGTGGAGTGCTGGCCACTCACATGGTGCTCTCTCTCCTGCTAAATCACTTTTTTAAAGGCTACAAATATATTAAATACTTTCCTACTCTTACTTTTAAATGTAAATAATTGCTGTACATGCACAGGGATGATATTTGATTGCTAGTGGGAGTGGACAAGGTGTCTGGTTGTGGATGGAGGGCGAGGTATCCAGGAGACCAGGCTCTCCATTAACATTTGGTCCACACTATGAAATCAAAAATGGATAACCTGTGCCCTAAAAGATGAGACCTTTTTTTTTTTAAGTAACAATAAAACATTTTCTCTGGTGTGTTGTTTAAAAAAAAAACCAAAAAAACCCACCCTTAATATACCCACATATATGTACCCACTTACATTAAAGACAGCTAATCATTCCCACTCCTCAGCAGCTTTTGCACACCCCTTCCAGCCTTCCTGACCAAAGAGCTATTTCTGCAAATTGGTGAAAAATTCTGGGCTCGTCCAGGCAGAGGTGTACCAATTTAATTACAGAAGCGATAAACCAGTGCAAAGGGTTTCATAGGCACTCTTCTTTGGGAATAAGTCTCTCTTAAACCAAAACAAGAATGTCCACACAGGGATTTTCACTGGTTTAATTAAACCAGTGCAAGTTTGTGTGTAGTACAGGGCTTGGACTTCACTTAAAAGTTAGGTAGACATAGCCAATCTATTTCCCATTGTAGATGCAACTGTGTTGACAGAAGAATATGTTGTTATCTGAGGAGGTGGTGTTCCTACACCTATGGAAAAACTCCTTCCATCAGTGTAGGCTGCACTTACGCTATAGGTTTATACTAGCACAGCTATGCCAGTATAGTCTGTAGTGTAGACACAACCGAGGCCTGAGATAGATTACGAATCTGCATGTCTTCCATTCAGGCAGAATTCTGAGGAGGCTTTCTACTATACACTAGACTCGTGCCTTGCAAATTTCTGCAAGGAGGATGGCCATCCTAGCAGCTTGCTTAAATGGATTAGAATGAGCTTTTGAAACCCAACCCGCTCTGCAAGGTGCATTTAAAGTTATGTGATGTATTTAAGTGTTGCCTTGCCCAAAGGGGAAGAAATTCTAGCACCTTGAACAAGCAGGTGCTTCTGCTGCAAAAGAATCTGTCACTAGCAGGTTATTTTGCTTGAGAGACTTGAATCATTTGAATGAAGGAGATGGCAAAACATTGATCAGTGCAATGAGTATTAGATGAGCAAAATCAATGGGGATGAGCAACTGGGAAAGGAGAAATAACTCCCAATATCCCCTGGAATTGTCTGACCCTTTCAAGTTAAATGTTTTGGGGGAGTAGGCAACTGTGTAAGTGCCTAGCGGGGATGTTGTAGAGGTCTAAGCATCCTTTTAGGAGTATCTAGAATCCTGGAAGCACAGGTTCATATGTTGGCAAGCTTAATGAAGTCATCTTTTAAGGTAAATGAATTAAGTTACATGCATCGTGTTAGGGGTATTTTGGATGAGACCTTAGGACTGTAGTTGTATCTGCCCTGCCTGGACATTAAAGACCCCCATGTCTCTTTTCATAAGAACAGTTTGCTCTGGTGTCATTGACAAAATTGTCTCCTCCCATTACCAGTGTGATGCATTCTGTGTGCTGTTTGGTTACATGGTCCACGCTGCTTTTCAGTGGGCTAATGGATATACAAAGTCAGATTCACAAGGAGCTGAAGCTCTCAGAATGTGGCATATAGTTTGTGATGTGCTTTGAGACCTTTCAGGAAGAGAGGTGCTAAAATATTTAAAATATTTTTTTTGTTCAATATCTTCATAAATGATCTGGAGGATGGTGTAGATTGCACTCTCAGCAAATTTGCGGATGATACTAAACTGGGAGGAGTGGTAGATACGCTGGAGGGGAGGGATAGGATACAGAAGGACCTAGACAAATTGGAGGATTGGGCCAAAAGAAATCTGATGAGGTTCAATAAGGATAAGTGCAGGGTCCTGCACTTAGGACGGAAGAATCCAATGCACCGCTACAGACTAGGGGCCGAATGGCTAGGCAGCAGTTCTGCGGAAAAGGACCTAGGGGTGACAGTGGACGAGAAGCTGGATATGAGTCAGCAGTGTGCCCTTGTTGCCAAGAAGGCCAATGGCATTTTGGGATGTATAAGTAGGGGCATAGCGAGCAGATTGAGGGACGTGATCGTTTCCCTCTATTCGACATTGGTGAGGCCTCATCTGGAGTACTGTGTCCAGTTTTGGGCCCCACACTACAAGAAGGATGTGGATAAATTGGAGAGAGTCCAGCGAAGGGCAACAAAAATGATTAGGGGTCTAGAACACATGACTTATGAGGAGAGGCTGAGGGAGCTGGGATTGTTTAGTCTGCAGAAGAGAAGAATGAGGGGGGATTTGATAGCTGCTTTCAACTACCTGAAAGGGGGTTCCAAAGAGGATGGCTCTAGACAGTTCTCACTGGTAGCAGATGACAGAACGAGGAGTAATGGTCTCAAATTGCAGTGGGGGAGGTTTAGATTGGATATTAGGAAAAACTTTTTCACTAGGAGGGTGGTGAAGCACTGGAATGCGTTACCTAGGGAGGTGGTAGAATCTCCTTCCTTAGAGGTTTTTAAGGACAGGCTTGACAAAGCCCTGGCTGGGATGATTTAACTGGGAATTGGTCCTGCTTCGAGCAGGGGGTTGGACTAGATGACCTTCAGGGGTCCCTTCCAACCCTGATATTCTATGATTCTATGATAACTTCATTGTTAAATGATGACTGATTAAAATAGAAAAGGAGTAACTAACAGTAGGTTCCATCTGGAAGCTCTGATCAGAAGGTATTTTTACAGGTATTAGGTGTTTATTTCTAATCTGGAATGTTACTAAGGATGCACAAAAATAGGTTTATGTTAATTTCTGTGGAACCACCAACGAACAAATTACTCTTTGTTTCCTTTTGCCCGTCACAGACTAGTAGTGTAGTTTGTTCATGAGTAGTCTCATAGTAAGACAAAGGGGTGTGTGAGTGGATGCATCGTAGGCCTGAGGCAACAAACAAACATGGCTTAAATTTTGCCAGGTGTGACCTTCCTAATGGGGACCACTGACCAGACTGGTCATTAGGGGTCGTGAAAGACCTTGCAAAAGAACAGTACAGTGCCCACACAACTGTTGTACATTGGCACAAGAGAGGCGTAGTCCCACTCTCATGTAGCTAAATCCTGCACAGCACAGGTGTGGAGTAGTGCACTTACAAGCGCAACGTATAAATTGGTGAGCAGGACAGAGAGATGAGGGAACCTGATTCTGCATTAATGAGAGAGCTGGCTGGTGTTTGGCAGCCAAGATTACTCCTGCCAAGTACAGGAGTGAGGCCTAAGGGGAAAGGGTAACAAGTTCCTCGCATGAATGCTGAGGATCATTTTTAAGTCATTGTCCTGTAAGTAGGGCCCTACCAAATTCACAGCCATGAAAAACGATTTCACAGGGGAGACCGGCATTTCTAAAACTGGGGGTCCTGACACAAAAGGGAGTTGCAGGGGGGTCACAAGGTTATTTTAGGGGGATTGTGGTATTGCCACCCTTACTTCTGCACTGCCCTCGGAGCTGGGTGGCTGGAG